GCACTGTTCATCTGCCTTCCTCCCTCCCTCCCTTTCCCCCTTCCCCGCTTCCCCTTCCCTTTTCTTTCTTTCTGACAGAGTCCCACTTGTCACCCTGGCTGGAGTGCAGTTACATAATGTCAGCTCACCGCAACCTCCGCCTCTCAGGTTCAAACAATTCTCCCACCTCAGCCTCCCGAGTAGCTGGGACTACAGGAACACGCCACCATTTTAATATTTTTTACAGGCGAATTTTTGTATTTTTAGCAGAGGTAGGGTTTCACTATGTGGGCCAGGCTGATCTTGGACTCCTGACCTCAAGTGATCCACCTCCCTAGGCCTCCCAAAGTGCTGGGATTACAGGCATGAGCCACCGTGCCAAGCCCAGTCTTTCTTTAAATGTCACTTTCTCAGTGACACCCATTCTGACAACCCCGTTTAAAATTACTGCCCTGCATTCTGGTTCCTCCATTCTGGCTTTCTGTTCCCCAAACTCCCAGCCCTATGACATCTCTTCTAAAATACCATTTAATTCATCTAATTTACTTATTGATTTTATTTCATACTTTTAGTGAGAAAAATGGAAACTATTTGAGGGCGGGGGTTTGGTTAGTTTTATTCTTTAACATATCATCAGTATTTAAACCAGTACTTGACATTTCCCCCCCGCTATTGTTAGAGGGCAATAGGAAAGCAGTATGAGAATGAAGCAGTCTAGAGCATGCAATTGAGGGGGCTCTAGAGGAGAAGGAGAGATAGAAGGTAATGCAGAAATACGAGATAAAATCCCATAAGAAGCAGACATCGGTGTTGTCAAGATCATAGATAAATGAAGAAGCTTTTGGCAAAGCAGAGAACTCTCTTTCTTTGGCACCTGACGGAAGGAATTAAGGATGGCTGACGATGACATTGGAGGTGGAGGAGAAATAAATATGTTTGTTAATGCCTATCATATTCTGTTTTCTTGGTTGGTAGTCAGGTTTATCTGTTGAACTTTATCTGGAATACTTCTGGCTAGAGGAAGTGTTTGAAGGACGAGTTTGGTGACAGAGCACAGATATTGAGAGAGAGCGCCAGGGAGATGTGACCTATCTGTCATTCAGGAAGTTTGGCCCTGAAAGTTCCTAAAGACTTGCCGGCTTTCCCTGAGGTCCCAGCCTGGTAAAGAAATAGAAAGGATATATGGGTATGCTTGGTTGTGCTTGGCCTTCTCTCTGTGCCGTTCAGTATATGGGAAAGCCACATCCCGAAACCTGTTTGACTGCCCTGAAGGTATAGGTATTTTCCTCATAATATATTTCCTGGTTTGTCGTTTCAGAAACTTTTCAACTCATTTTCTATGATTTCTTGTGTTGACTTTGCTTGACTCATAGGGCTATCTTACTTTCCCTGTCTCTGTCCTGTGCAGAATTCTAGTCATTACTTTGTGAACCCCAAGGGATGCTCTAAATTCATTCTTTTTCTGCCTCCTCATCCCCTAGAATGTGATGCCTCTCTCGGCGGGATTATTCAAGAGTGAGCACAAGAACCCCGTGCCGCAGTGCCCCCCGCGCCTCCACGTGCAGTTCCTGTCACACGTGCTGTGGAGCAGAATGCCCAACCAGTTTTTGAAGGTAGATGTGTCTCGAATAAGTGAACGCCAAGGCTGGTTGGTGCAGTGTTTGGATCCTCTGCAGTTCATGTCTCTTCATATCCCTGAGGAAAACAGGTCAGCCCCATGAATCCGTGACATTCTGTTGGGACACTTGGGATTAGCCTGCGGCCCGGGGCTTCTGGTAGTGGTGCGGGGCGGGGGTGGTTCTAAAGAAACAAAATGAAATTTACGAAGGTCTCAAGTCTTTTGGCAATGGAGTAATTACTCTGCGTATTCCAAGTTTACGTTTATTTCTCAACCACTTTGTTACTGAAAAAAATTATTCTGCAGTTGAAGGTGCCACGTGATGGTTTCTTCATTCACTCTTGTGTTACTTACCAGACAACAGCAAATACAAATTCAGACAAGTGCAACTGTAATCCAACTCATGACTTAGTAGAGTACTGTAGTAGAGAATTGTGAGATATTAGAGATGGAATCACAGGAATCCTTTATGATTCCTATGTTCAACCTTTCATTTTATAGATGTGAAAGACTGATCCCAAGAGATATTAATGAAAGAAAATTGGGGAAATACTGTGAGTGCCTTGGAAACAAGTTTATATGCATTCTAGTATATGCAGTAATAATAGTAACATGAAGTATAATAAATACTCAAAGATAGCTTTGTTTATGATTTTCTGTTTTTCCATGTGATAGCCAATTAAATTGCAGAGATTTCATTTAAGAAGTACTTCTTATCAATAAGGAGCTAAGTTTCTAAGTTTTGGGCCAAGATTTCCCTCCCAAAATACCATTGAAATGTTCAGTCACAAACTGAGTAAAAACATGTTATGAAAGTAATGCACAATCGTATTTGTATGTTTTAAGTCTTTAATCTGAAAATAATTATTGAAGCCAGGTCCATTTTTATATCTTTAGATGTTCTTGGCATTTTTGATTTTAATATCTTTAAAATTTAACCTATGCTTTGGAAAACAGTTTGTCAGTTCCTCAAAAAATAAAATTATAGCATTACCATGTGATCTAGCATTTCTGCTACTCATATATATCCAAGAGAAATTAAAATATGTCAACACAAAAACTTGTACATGAATATTCATAGAAGCATTATGAATAATAGTAAAAAAAAAAAAGGAACCCCAAATGTACACCAACTTATGAATCAATAAACAAAATGTGATATATCTATATAATATTATTTGGCAGTAAAAATGATTGAAGTGCTGATACATGCTACAAAATGCAAGAACTTTGAAGACATTATGTTAAGTGAAAGAAACCAGTCACGAAAGCATATTAAGTGAAAGAATCCTACTAGTGTGGATTTTATTTAATTGGAAAGTCCATGATAGACAAATCTTTAGAAACAGAAAGTAGATTAGTGGTTACCTAGGGCTAGGAGCAGAAAAGGACTGCTAATGGGTACTAAATTCCTTTTGGGGTGATAAAAATGTTCTAAACTCAATTAACGATAATTATAGTTATCGTTATACAACTCCATGAATATACAAAAACTATTACATTATGTATTTTGAGTCAGTAAACTGTATAGCATGTAAATTACAGCTCATCAAAGATGTTTTAAAACAAAAGAAAAACAAAAAAATTAATCTGACTAGTTAATTATTTTTATGTATTAAATATGTCTTTACATATTTAATGTAATTAGATATCTTTCATAACGTACTCTTGAGATGGTTCAGTTTGATTTTAATTTTATTCTTTTTTGTGAGAAGAGTTTTATCATAATTTTTCATCTGATGATGTTTTTAAAGAAAATATTGAACAACCAAAACAAACATAACATTTGGGAAGGAATTCTTGTTTGTGAAGGAAAATGTTGTGTCTCTACTGAGCATGGAACTTTAACATTATAATTTAACATTTTGGCATGCTATCATTGAAAACCAACATAACACCTTGTTTCAGTAGTTTATAATTTATATTAATTGCCTATGATAGATGTATATGTATGTGAATGGATAATTTAAACTCCCACTAAAGTTCATAAAGGACTTAAGGGAGTTTTCCAAATCATATGCAACAGGAATGTATAAAAGTGTGTCACTGACATCAGGCCGTAGAAAAGATATGGATAGGAAAATAAAACTGAGGCTAAGAGCGACACACAGTCATTTATACCACACCGGTTGGTAGAGTCGAGGCCCACATTAATTTCATTCTTTCTAGCAGCCGCAGAAAAATATGGTGAGTTTCAAAATCCAAATTCCAAAAAAGGAAGTCTGAACTAGCGTGGGTGAGAAGAATCTGATGCCCCAATAACATGACGAATCATTAATATGTTAAAGTTTGCTATGGCGGTAGATGTATGTCAGTGTGTACTTTGTTTCTCCTTAACACATGTCACAGTTGATCATTTAATTTGCTCCATTTTGGTCAGCGGGGGTGGTTTACTCCCTCAATTGGATATAAGCTCCCTGGGGACAGGAATCATGTCCGTATTATTCACCATTGTATCATCAGTGCACAGTGCTAATACATAATAGGCACTCAGTGATATTTGATGAACAATTGAATGACGGTGACATATGAAAGCAATTTCTCCTCTAGAGACTTTTTTGTTGTTTGTTTATTTATTTATTGTTTTGAGGTGGAGTCTCGCCCTGTTGCCCAGGCTGGAGTGCAGTGGCGCAATCTCGGCTCACAGCAACAGATCCTTGATACAATGGAGGAGGAAGGAGGTGCTAGAAAAGTGTCAAATTCTATGTAGAAGAAAATCTGTAAAACATCTAGAAATGATTAAAAGTACTATGCAGCCGTTAAACATGTCATAGAAAATTAAAAGAAGACATAGGTTGGGTGTCCCAAATCCCAAAATCTGAAATTTGAAATGCTCCAAAATCTGAAACATTTTGAGCACCAACATAATGCTCAAAGGAAATGGAGTATTTCACATTTCAGACTTTCAGATTCAGGATGCTCAACCGGTAAGTATAATGCAAAC